GAGACCCCTCTTCACATGGATGCTTGATTGTATGAGTTCTGCCTTTGTGTGCACAACTGCGGGCACGTCTTTTTGTAAGTTGGTGTGTAGCTTGTAGCAAGCAAGGGTCAAAGCAACAACAACTACAGGGCCAGCAGTCAAATATAACAACTAGTTGCCGAGACACACTAGTCACATGGAGCTCCTTTTGAAACTTACCAGCAACAAGAAAGCCATCTGCAAATTGCAGAAAGAAGTCCAGGGAGCTTCAGCACCCAAACAACGTCCATTTCATACGCCCCCCCACCTAGTTTCTAGTTTCGGCGGCCCTAGGTGCCCCCATATTTCTAAAGCAGAGCTCGCTATTTGCACAGAACCCTTCTCTTGGATCACCCGCGGCACATCGATCCTGAGCTGGACTCGCTGTGCACGACCTCGGCGTCTCCAATTTGCTCAACGATTTTGGGGTGTGGGTTTAAGCGGCTCGATGCTACGTATGTATGTATGTATTTATGCATGTATGCATGTATGCATGTGTACAGATGGCTATATATATATATATATATGTGTGTGTGTGTTAATGTTCACTGCTACATACGTTGTTTTGTTCATAATGTCTGTGCATAAAACAGGATTAGCCAAGGCTCAACTGAATAGTTTTGTATGATACTATATATATATATTACATCTGAATACGTTGAAGATAGCAACAACGTGAAGATGGCGAAGCAACCAACAACCAAGATGACAATTGCACATGTTATCGCACACGATATACTTGTCCATCATATTTGCACACGCATCTTGTGTGTTCTCCATGACTCAGTACATAGTTATATCCAAAACAGTAGAGACCTCCAATCCAACATGCCAACCTGTAAACTCCAACAATCGATTGTTTGCCAACAGGTTGAAGGTTCAGAGTCCCCGCAGTTGTCCCTCGATTGGGAAGAAGGGGAAGCCCATACTGGTGGATCATGTCAGAAAGCAACCAACAACACAGAGCTTTGTAGCGAGCAATCCTCTTCCCTGGAGGGAATCCCTTAACATGGGTGGTGTGCAATGTGTTTCCATGTTAAAATATTTCCATCCAAAAAACACACACACATTTGAGGTCGCGAACTCAATTGACAAGTCGACCACGAACCTCACGTAGCCAGGTCTCGGCTGACGGCTCACATCCGGCAACCAAGGTCTGGGTCTGTTTCAATATTATGGACCGACTCAGCAAAATGGTTGGCCTCTTCTCGGTTCCCAAAAGAACTGGTTGGTTCCCCGAAAAATGCTTGGCCTCCTTTCGGAGTCCCTTCCAAACCCACCACCAGGACTTGGCTCCCCCAACTCCGCGATTTTAGAGCCGAAATTTGCCTCCGCGGCCCCGGCCGAAGAGCCATAGACAATCCTGGCTCGGCGGATCAGGAACTCAGCTGGGGAGCCAAAAGTTAGCCTTTTGGGGACATTGGGTGACTACAAAAGGACAAGCGGACACTGAAAAGTCAAAAGGTCGATTCGGAATTCGCCTTGGAGCAAGTGAGGGCAAACCCCTTAAAATCTGTCATGGCCCACCCCGCGTGATTGACATTGTTGTCACATTCATTTCAGTGGAAAAGCAAGATGCTTGCCAAACATTGAAATAGCAGTCGTCCTTAAATTCCCCTTGAAACTCTCCCCAACATATATGGAATGGATCTTGGCGTAAAACACACAAGAGAACCCCACAAAACATCGGCAACAATGTAGGATCTCTAGCCACGGGGAAAACGGGCACCCCTCCAGCCGCTTTGGGAATTCTGACTCAGAGACACAAAAATGGGTGACCCACAAAACGGTTGACTGTCTTTTGTTCTCCCCAAAAACATGTACCGTGCCTCAGACAAAAAAGACACCCTCGACTTGGACAACTTTTCGGGAAACTGGTTCTCAGTTTGAGAGTTTCGGACTATCATTTGACGGTGTTTTCAAGTTCTACTGACGTTACACACGTAGTGCCCGACTTAAACTTAAACCCAGGGAACCTTGATTGGAATCGGTACTTGTGTCTCAAAATTGGGGCCTATGGCAAAACGGCGCCCTTTGCAGGTGTCCCTTTAATAAGACCATCCAGACATCAGGGCTCCGTTTGGACAAAAAAGGACAGAAACCTCGACGGCCCGCCTGGCGGGTGCGGGATCTTCTCGGGCCACCCCCGGCTTCACTGGAATCACCTGGATGGATCCCTGGCTTTGTACCCCCCTTGGTGTCCGGAGCTGTTTGGGGTAGGTAGATATTCCCCTACATAAACGCCGGGAAAAATGTTAAAGCCAACTGCAAAGGGAGATATCGGGACCCCTAACAAAATTAAGAAGAATTCACCGAACTGAAATTTGATCGCAGCCCAAGTACATGAATTCACCTTCACACACAAATAGCTTCCCAGATTGGCAGTTGCTTTCACTGAGCCTGATATTTTGGCAGGACTCGAAGAGCCAAGGATCCGCATCCTTCGACCAACACCCAGCCAAAAACACAAAAGCAACCAGGGCTTGTCTCTTTGCAGGGCCCCCTGAAAAAAAAGGTGATCCTTTAAACTTCCCTAAACCAACCCCAAAGGACTCCTTTTAAAAAGTCCAAACAAAAGAACAAATATGTCCTTTCAAAATTTAGCCGTGTTACTAGACCTGCGGCCAAAACCGAAATCTGCTATTTTCAAGGGTTCATGAAGGTTTCCGCAAATTCCCAGAGTGCGTGGGGAAGAAGGGGTATGATATTTTTGGGTAGCTGATTTTGAAGGGAAACCCCTTCCCTACGAAACCCCTTCCCTACGAAACCCAACAAACATATTGAACAAAAAAAGACAAAAGGGGCACCGTGTGCCGAAAGTCATGGCCCCAAAAACGGACAGGGTGGAACGCGTGACAATCCGGGGGGTCCCTATATTTCCCCTTCAATTTCCACCCAAGCAAGCCCCGTCTTGTTTTAAAGGTCCCAACAGGTGATGTAAAACATTCTCAAGCGGTGGGGGCTCTGACGTTCCGAGGGTCACTCTGTGAATGTCATGTAAATGTCAACCCCAGATTCAGCAACCTGACTCATTCTTCGATGGGTGCAGCACAAAAGTGAAGAATCCCCTTTTGTGACGCAGCCTCCCGAAATGGGCGGGTTTCCGTTTGGTTCTCTTCAAACAAACCCCCTAACCAGGCCCTCAAACAAGACACACCCAAGGGCTCGTCCCATTGTGATCCCTTGGAAGAACCTTCACCCTTTGAGCATCCCATGACCAAGCTGCGGGGTATGCTCAAAGGCCCGAGGAGTGCGGCCCCTCAATGCAAACCCCGTTAAATGGACAGGTTAAATTCTAGGATAAAGCAACTGGATCTGTGTCAAAATAGGGGACCCAACACACACAGTGGGTTTCCTTTTGGCTTCCCCTCCAAACCACTCCAAAAGGCATACCCTCAGAAAAAAAAATCACCCGAACCAGCCCAAGGAGCATCCCCGACCACCTCCCTGAAGGTCGGAACCCTTCTAGAACCCACCCTCCCAAATCCCCATAGCAGCACATCTTTGGCTGCGGTCAAACCTGCTGTGCCTTTTCCAGCTCAGTTGGGTGTGCCTTCGACAAAAGACCCTCTTTGGGCTTTGTTTCAAGGAACACCTTCCGTTTCGCGAGGTCAAACCCAAAAGGGGAAAGAGCCCCACTCAAACAAAGAATGCTTATGATGTCTGTAATTAGCAGCCAAAGTTGGAAGCGGCTGTTAGATTGGACATGAACATGTCACCATCGACCTCGCCAAACACCCGAAACAACATCATCCTGCTCGCCAGCGCGGAGGACCTTGCCGCCACTGGCTGCCTCCTCCGCGATTCTCATCACGCCGACGAGGTGCACGTCTGACCAACCGAACAGGCATGAACACCCTAACCGCCACTGGCGTCGTAATCTTTGTTGATACCCTCACGCCACCGCTGCAGCCCACTCGTTGTCGTCCATCCTCGTAGCGAACTGCAGACTGTTGACCTCGTTGAGCGAGTCATCGTCTGTTAGCATGTTAGCCAGCGTGTTCAGCGTGCGTGGGCTGAAGTCATCACTCCTCAACCTTCCTCTTGCCGAATCTTTGAACGCGTGAACTGAAAGTCGGTCACTCCTGACAGCACACACCACGTCGCCACCACTAGGCCTCTGAACTAAGGTTTTCCCCAAAGGTTTGGAGGCAAAGGGGCGAACACCAACCTTACACCAAAGCCGGATTCCCATCGTGACTCCTTAGTCAAGGGCATTCCCTGGCCTCACAGAAAGTGGCAATCCAGTTCTCCACAACCCAAACGGATTCGATCCAGCTAACCAGCAAACTTCCAGGTTTAGGGTGGGATACCCCGCAGGGTGACCTCAGTTTGCCGGCCGAAGGGTTTCACTGAGGGCTCTGGGGCTAGGAAAGCTGAGAGGACCAAATGGGGAAGGTAGCCCCTGAAGCCCAAACCACCAAACCAAACCACCAATTAGGGGGAAGCTGGAGTATGGTAACTCGAACCCTCGGGGAAACACGCCAAACAGATCGAATCTCTCTGCCTTCGCGGCTGGACGTCCCAGCCTTGGCCCAAAAAATCGGCCGGTTGTGCGTGGAGTCCTTTCAATCTGCCCATCAGTTTACTTTTTAGAGCCATTCCAAAACCCCCCCACCCATTGCTCTACAGTTCTAAGGCCATTCAGAAACCCTGCAGTATGACAGGGGGGTGATAGGGAGGGTAGGTGAGGGGAGGTTGGAGCGGGAGAGAGGAAGACTTTACCCAAGAATCAGCTGCCATTTTGAGGGTGGATCACAATCCCACGATCCGAAAGGATCGGAAGGGCAAGGCCTTGGTATGGCCACTGATGGAACAACCTCGAGGATCCTTTGGGTTTCCTGTGACAGCTCAGGGCTTGGTTGGTTGTGCAACCAACCGTTTGTGAATAACCTCCTTTTTGCTCCCCCTTTTCATGGATACCAGGGTTTGGTGTTCAAATCAACCAACCCTCTCAGACGATGCCAAGCGCCGCCTTTTTTCGCACGTCACACAATGCTTTCGCACAAGGCAGGGGGCGCCCACGCCTTGAGCTTGCGGCTCAGTCCTCAGAGAGCCCGGGGCTGTGGAATTCGCTTTCTGAGCCTGTCGTATTCTTCACGTTTCGCCGTTTCTTTGTGGGTAATGTGCTTCTTTCTTGCGTTTGCGCACGTTGTGGCTTGGCAGTGCATGCGTCCTTTTCTTCTCCAGGGAAACGCTTGAGTTATATCTCGCATCACGCTGAAACAAATTGACCATCTTTAGCCTATATCGTGGGGCAGGAATTATGTTGGGTCCGGTGTACAAAGTAGTTCCTGTTGGTGTCCTTTCCATCACACCAAGAAACACGGGTGGCACAGATTACTTCGACACCCCGCTTTGGCAGTGCTTAGAAACCAAAATCCAAATGCCGTGAACCAGAAAGCCACACCTCTGGGCCTGGCCGGCGCTGGGTGCGATTTAACTTTTGCTTTTCTAGCAGGGTGTGTCAAACCAAGGGTCCCCAATATGGTGGCTTCCGAATTCCCCTTTGGTTTCCCTTTGAGACCACCAAAAAAAGGGGTACTTAACAAAACTGCAGACCTGCGGTGCAAACACCTCGTTTTGGTTCCGATTCCCTTTGACAAGAGGGACAAGTTGCATTTTTGGCTGGGATATGCATGATTCCAATTGGGTCCAGGGTTGGGCGAATCAACTGCTTGCTGTACTGTATTAAACCACGATGGTTCACATGGTTTAAACAAACTCCTTTAGGTTTCGCTTCCTAAGGGGCCCGAATCAAGTCTGGACGCTAAACGACCAGTTTCGCCCAGCCCGGTGCCCATTTTCAAGACACGATCTGCGCAGTTGCCAAGCTCGAGTTGCACGGTGCCGTTGCTTGGGTGTGGTTGTGGATTGGGAACGTCGCATCTTGTATTGCAGGTGTGTGCTTACTTGGTGTTTTTCAAAGAGAGACACTATGCACAGGGAAACATAGGGTCGATTTTGGGGAGGCAAACCCAGCTGATACTCCGCGTGCTTTGCTCTGGCCTGCGACCTGAAACCAGGGAGTCCAACATGCGGACCTTGACCACAGGACAGGCCCCAAACCTGTGAAATGCGAAATTGCAATATCTTCGTGGCCCGACACCAACAATTGCTTGGTGTAACGCTCGCGTGGCTTCTGCTGGGTTTCTTAATTATCATGTGTGGGTTGGGAGTAGTAAAAGCACTCATGAAGACTCCCTTCCTGAGGTTGGCAAATGCACAATCTATCTGTTTGCTTCCTACTTGAATGGCCTCGCGAAAACATGACTAACGTCCGAAACTGATATTTAGCTTGCCTTTTTGATGCTTTGGAACATTGCCTTTTCGGCTAAGTCAAAGTGAGCTTACATGTTGTTGCTCACTAGCGATGCGTTCCCAAAAGATATATTGCAAATGATCGAGTGCATCATGTTGACACTTCGTGTTGAGAGGGGCATCATTTGTTTTGCGACCCAGTGAATGAAACGCCTGTAAAGTCTAAGCGAATTCTGAAGTTGCCTCACTTACACTGGGTCGGGAAGAAGCCCTCTGCCAAGACTCCTTCCATAACCTTTCGGTTCCTCTCCGAGATTTGCTGCTTCAGAGCCTGACGCGTCCCGGCAAAAACCAGCTCTGAAGCATACCAGTTGCCATAACCAGGATTCGTGGACCTGTATGCTTCTGATTTCCCTATATATATATATATATATCTGTGTGACATTGTGTGACTACCATAGTGCCAACTGGGGGCTACCTGTGGTGCTCAAACTTGACTTTGTGGCCTACAACGTTTGTGCTTTAGCGGCAATAGTCACTCATGTGTCTTCTGCCAGGAAAATGTGTTTCTGAACATTTGCGTTTACGTGCGAGAACCGATGACTTCCACCATTCCGCATCCGTGTTTGAGCTCCACCACTTGCACAACCGACTTGACCGATTCGAACGGTGGTAGAAACTTCGGAGATGCCAAGGGAACCTGCCCCATCCACCCAAATGTTTGCGCATTTCTTAAAGTCTTAGGAACGACCAGGGGGGTGCTTCAAGTGGCAGTGGTATGTGAATGTGTCCAAATGCGACTCGGACCCGCTAGGAAACCACCAGGCTCTTTTAAGAACAGCTCGGATTAACATGGACCCTCCAAAACAAAGACAAAGCAACCATTCAGGTGCTTCTCAAATCACAAGGACGTCATGCAACATTTAGGTTCCAAATCCTTTTTGCGGGAGACCCATGGAGGAAGTCGACTTTGCAACAGCAATCCCGGACCCCCCTTTTGGGTTCCGTTGATTTGTAGAGGAGCCAGGCCCCTAGATCCGATGGTCGAATGCGCTTCCATCCAAGGCCCGCCTCCTCCGCGATCTTGCCTTCTCGCAGCTCCAAGCAGACTTGCCTCGAAAGCCCGGGGCCCATAAAGTTGAGAGACCGCCCTTTTGGCTTTGGGAAGAAGGGACATTCAGAGGGAACCAGAAAATCATGTTCCCACACTTGTGCCTTCCGGTGCATAACACATGACACCCAAATTTGGGATTAAAACGGAACATAAGCAGGTTTGAAGGTCCGAATTCAGGAGAGTCCATTCTGCGGACAAATTAGTGCCTTTCCACTTCTCGTCCCTCCCGAGTGAACCAGAGACCGGAAACTTGGACTGAACCTCCTGATCCCAAATTGTCCATGGCTTGGGTTGGACCGGGACCCAGCGGCACTTTGGGAGGGCATCAAATCCAGGATTGTCTCAGGCCTCAAAAGGAATTGGGGGAACATTGAGTGAGTCCCCCTGGTTCTTGGGGAATATTTAGTGAGAACCCGATGTTGCTCCATAAACCACAAATCAAGAATCGATTCCGCTCTAGGCCCACGCTCCCTCTCCCCCTCTCTCTTCACTCTTCTATTCTCACCAACCAACCAACCAACGTGTCCCACGAGAGAGAAAAGGGATGGAGATTACACGCTCTGACGTAGCAATGAAGCGCCCAACCCTCTTCTCTTCCCGGATGCTCTCTGAAATTATATGTCCAGAAAGCACTTCTTCGCTTCTAGAACTAAACAATTACTGAGACGAAGGTTGGAAAGAGAAAGTGCTTCCTACCGGTGGATGCCATCTGCTCGCTTCACCTGTTTACCCCAGCGGGGACTGTTGTCCTAGTGCTTGCAACACGCAGGGAGCCAAACCAGCATAGCAATCTAGCGGTGTCAGTCATGGGCGAGAGAGCAAGCGAGCTTTCTGGAGTTGTGAAACACCGCAAGCTCCTGTTGTTCACAACAAGGCTCACATCATATAATCCAAGTCCTGTTCACTGAGTCCGCTTCTTGGGCTGGTGGTGGAGTAGGTCAAACACCCCTGTAAAGATTTGACGGCGACTACTTTTTGCGGAACCTCGCTCCAAACTGGATTCAATGCTTCACGCTAACTGGAACGCCTCCAACATAACACTTGCGAACTGGATGATCCGAGGCTGGAAGGCATGGCTCCCCAATTATCTTTAACTATCAGGGGTTCAAAACCCTCAAGGCCACCATAACTGAAGGGTGACAGCTGTGACAGCCGCAACTTGGCGTGGAAAAGGGTTCCATGAACGGGCCACCCTACAAACACCATATGGACCAGACGAGCAACTGGAAACAAGGGGTAGTATACGCATGTGACGCTCAACTTGGCCACCATGCTTCTTGTAAGGACCCCTGAAAATGGGGAAACTCCCAATTTCTGTGATATCCAACTATGACTACTGGATATCACCAGGAGGGATTCCGCCATGGGCAGGGGTCTTCACAGATCTCCGCAACCCGGCAAAGCCCAATCTCTTCCAGGGGGCACTGGATTTCCCCTTCAAAAGTTGCAATTTACTGGTCGGTTCAAGCAAAACAATGCACTTTCCCATGTCCCAACAAGAGGAAATTCACAGACCCATGTTCTCCCCACGCACTGGGTTGAACCATCCCTGCAAAGTCCCTGAGCTCACGGTTCGGCCCTGGCTGAATTTTGCCCAGACACGCCCCACGATTTGCAAAGGGCACCTGGGAACGGGCAGGGCAGCCTGAGCCTGAGACCTTAGCCTACCTCAAACAACTGCGCCAAACGGAACAAGAGCAAACAAACGGAGCAACAAAACGCAACCAACATAAGAACAACAATATACCAATCAAACTAAAGTGAGAAAACTGAAAGAATGATTAAAGCTTGTCCCTAAAGGCTCCTCATGCTCAAACTCCCAGCGATGCTTAAGGCTAGCCTGCTTGATAAGGAAAGCTAATCAATTCACTTGACATGACTGTATTTGATTGAAACATGCTGATTCTCACTCTTCCATAAACCATGCAACACACGCTGCCTTTTGGACAACTTTGTATATTGTTGCAAAACGGGCAGCCTTCCCAGTTCTTGCATGGCTGGTTTGCGCTCATGCAACTCCGAATTTTCACCGAAAGCTGTTCCCCAAAACGAGTGTTCCGGATTCCCTCAAACATCAGTGTTGCCTATACTCCCCTCAAACATCATCACTTTGGGAGACTCACCTTTTATTGGCCAACGAGGTCATGCTTAAAGTCCCTTTACAGCATACCAGGGGTTGGCCGCTGAAAAACATGTCACAAGCAACCGGGAAACCGTGAACGGACCAAGCATCTTCCAGGTTTCAATCACTCTTATCAAAATAGGACGAACTAAACAACTCCCAGCAACCTCTGGCCAACAAACAGCTGGGGATGGGTCAAAGTTAGCTTTTAGTCCATGTTTCTGTTTACCAGGGTTTCATTGTGGGTACCTATTCTCCCCTCCCAGCTTTTGCCCCCAACCAGACATACCACCGTGATATGCTCCCTAAGGGTTCGAATACCTTACAAGGGGGTACTCAAACTCCTTTTGGCCACCAAAAACCATCGACACCAGGCCGGTCCCAAATAATGCCATGTGACGGATTGCAACTTCTCAATCCACGATGTCCCATGAAAGGCAAAGGCAGGCGTGACCACGCCGCCTCGTCCGCTGTCAGCCTTGGTCTTTCATGGAAAAGGCGTGTTGAGTGCAACGGTCATGGGCTCCCACAGGCCCTGACCAGGCGAAACCGGGAGGTCAAAACAATGATACCTTCTGGCCTGACCTCACGCTGCGCTGCCTTTCAAACAAGGAGATTTGCCAGCCTTAGGCGTCAAGGCAGTGAGCCCCAGACTTCCACTGGCCGCAAACAACAATTGCACATTGTTTTCAAAATCGATTTCAACAACGAGCTACTTGGGCCTCATGTAAAGAGTATTTGAGGGCTGCCAAGGGTGTGCGCTGCTTTGGGGGACCCGCGGTGTGGTTGAAAGGGATTGACGCGCCATCTGTCGAGTTGGCCAGTGGGCTGGGCGAAGAGAAACTGTTGACCGGGTCTAAGTCTGGCCCAGTAGGGCTTCATGCCGTTCAAAGGGAAACAAAGCCGAATCCAAATTAAGAGCAGTGTATTTTGAGACACACCCTTGGGGTCCAATTACCTCCTGAGGATAAGTTTTGAGGGAAATTCCGAGGAAGCTACTTAAAGCACCGTCTCAAAGCAACACTCCGCGATGCTGTCATGGCTTTGCAAATCAGGATCCCCTAAAACTAAAACTAGTTGGTTTCCTTGTGCGTGCGGGTCCACAATTTTGAGATGATACGTTGCTCTATGTTACTCAAACATGGCAAACATGGCCTGGAAACAACCCAAATCAGTCAAATGGACTGTGAAAAACTGGGTTTACCAATGAGAACCCCTGGTTGCCACTACTTTGGCATCACAAGGACCCTTTTCCATCATGAGTATGCAAACACGAGGTCCAATTACACTGGTGAGTCATGCTAATGTGTTGAATTGCAAGGATACTCTTTGCAAATTTCCAGAAAGAACTCAAACTGAGAGTCAAAAGACAGATTCCCAAGATGGTTTGCCTAATGCTAGGGGAGAGTAAAGCATCCCATTCCATGATCCAGTTGGACTTCGAGGGACACGGGGCGCAAGGGGTCTTGCGGGGCAATCAGAACCCGATAGGACTTACTGAGTTCCGCATGCCCATCGCGGGAAACGTCTATGAGCGGTTGTTCCTTTGAGTTATGGGATGTTGCCACTGGCACATGATTTGCAGCCCGGAATCAGTAGGATTAAATTGTCTTGATCAAACCAAGCTATAAATTAATGACAACTATGCATTTGGTTCTTGCTGTTAAAAGGACATCCCCTCCAAACCAATGGACGCGAGGGTATCACTGGAGGTCTGGGTTGCTTTCCTAGCAAGAGAACCTTGCAAGCAACAGCAACATGCTGGCTAATTAGATAGCGCGGCACGGGCTACAAGAACTTGTTTCAAAGTGCAGTCTGGCAAGATCTCTCGCCAGCACTCAGCACAAGTGCACCCTCTCACTCACACGACCTTTGAAGAAAGCGGTCCACACCAGTGGCCTCCTTTCGTCAGGTTCCCATAAGAACAATGTCTCTACCGTTGGTACTGACGGCAACCGATTTGACCCAAACAGAATAGGAAAACACCGGGCCCACAAAAAGTGAAGACACACCCAGTTAACGTCTAACGCTTGTTCAAAGGGAAAGTGGAGGAAGACCTTTTGAAGCCAAACGTGGCGTTTTCGGCTCGCTACATCCGGCGATGTGGTGAAGTGACTGGCCAGAGAAAGCTTGCACTTTGGAAGCTAAAACGGTGCAATAGGACCTACAACGGGTAAATTGGACTCTTCTGATTTATCAAATATGCCAAAGGTCAGTTCTTGCAAAACCCAAAACCTCCAGCGCCGTTTGGTTCTGACAGGTGTGGTGTATAAAGGTTTACATGCCTAGTGCTTCTACCTACTAAAGGTGATAGCTAGAAGCACTGGGACAGTTTACATCCTTTCCATGAAAGCTACCAAACCCTAAATGTGGCCATACGCCCGGTACCGAGCCTTGCCGGCAGAACGTACACTTTATGGGTTAATTAACCGGTCATGGCTTATTCATGCGATATCAGCCCAGGGTCAAATTTAGCTGTGAGTTCATGCCTGGCACAATCCCCTTTCCCGATATGAGTAGCGGACCAAATCCTTCGCTACATTCGAGTTGGCTGGTCCCTTATCGGTTTTCAATGTTCTGAAGCTAGAAGGGGGAGAGCGGTGTTGGGTGGCCCCCTATCGGTTTTGAGGGCTTTTGCTGATTTTGCTAGCTCCAAGGCGCCCCGAATACTACTGAAGACTACCAACAATTTTATCAGATACGCAAAGTATTTAAAAAAAAAGTGCCATCTACTTTCTGTGTGGTGCTATGAACGTTTACATGCCCAGTGCTTCCAGGCTGGCCACTATAGTAGGCAGGCAGGTGTCTTTACCTCACGATGTTACCATGCATGGTTTCCCCTTACCTACAAAAAGGTGGTAGCTGGAAGCACTGGGATAGTTGACATCCTTTCCATGGCCCTGGAGCATTGCCACGCAACCTTCAGCTCCTCCACGATGACCAAGGCCCCAGTGACCGGTGCCATGGCTGAAACCTCGTAGGCGCATCCCGAGGTCCATCGTGCATGAGCCCACTCACCTGGGGAGGATCCATGGAAACGGATCCCGGGTTGGTTTTGAAGGCAACAGGCCCTTTTTGGGGCTCCAAACATGGGATGCAAGCACAAGAATCGTCTTCAAGGAACCTCTTCTTTTGTGGTGAAAGGGAAATCCGAAAAAGGCTTTCGGAACAATAGTGGCTTGCACATGCTTAAACAAGGGGTGCCTCAATCCGTGTTTTGGACACAGGGCAAAAAAACGGTGACTCAGCTGGATCAAATTATTCATCTTCCAACACATCTACATTCCCTATGTATTCTCTTAGTTCAAAGCGTTGGGTTCCACTGTGACAAGGGACCAAAAGGAGCGGTCCGGTTGCTTTATGCAGAGCTGTTGCAATGTCCAGGCCTTGGCTTGAAAAGCTTAGGCTTGGCCCCTTCGAATTCTATGTCACCCACTACAACCAGTTCCAAAAGATCCAAGGTTCTCCTTGCGATCCGCACGCATCTCCGTCCAAAAGATCTAAGGCGCCCATGCTGGGGGTGTGGGCGGGTTCGAAAGTCCTTGTCTCGCTGAAGCCTCTAAAAAAGGCTCATGTTGCATTCGCAAGTGACAACCCCCTCAGTGGAAGCCTCCCAGGTTCCGCAAATATCACAGGCGAGAGGTTTGTTTCCAGGAGCGCCGCCGTGGGGTAAGTTACCGCCAAGCTTTCTATGGACCTTTCGGGACTGTCTTTTTCCGAGGGTACAATCCTATGAGGCAAAGTCGATGTGACCGGGTCACATCAGGGTCACATCACCTCCTCGTGTAGGTTGCGTTTCATCATTTGAAGCATGCTGCAAGACTGATGCGAATAACCGCAAACTACACTGGCTTGCTTGCTTCGAAACGAGCTTTGGGCCACTTAGTTCGCATGCTAGTGTCACGGACTTTAGTCACTGCAGCTTCTTGGAACATGTGTTGTGCCTAAGGGGGAACATCGCAGCGACGTCACATCAGGGTCACTGCAATCAGTCGAAGCCCATCGGCTTGCAACGCAACAGCAAGCAAAACAAGGTAGTGAGGCAGCAACAGATATAGCAAGCCAGCAAAGGCAGCAGAAAGGCAGGGACAAGCCAGGAGCAAGGCAGGGGCAAGCCAGGAGCAAGGCAGGAGCAAGGCAGGAGCAAGGCCCACCATACTCCAACAAGACTTCCCGCACGAAAGCCCAACGATGTTGGGGAAAATGCTGCTAAAAGACGAACCAAACTTGGTTTTGGGGACAGAAATGAGGCCCCAAACAAGGCCCAAACGAGGCCCAACCGAGCCCCGGTGGCCCAACCGGCAGGTCCCTAGGCACATTAACTCAACTGGGAATCTAAACAATGCAAATGCACGCGAAACAATGCAAACACATAAGTCAAGTTGCTCTGAAAAAAACTGTTCGAAGAATGGGTGCGTTCTGCTTATATTTTTGATTGGCTTGCTGGTTATTGTTTTGGTTGTTGCTGCTGCTGTTGTTTGTGGGCTGGCTCTGAAAGGACTTGAGAAAAAGAAAAAAAACATGCTAAACGCAACCTCAATTCATGAATTTATGCGACCCCGCTACAATGCTTTCCCCAACGGCAGGGAGACAATCAAGCCAAATCGATGCGACCAGCCTTCTTGACTGTACCCTTTTCGGGGCTGCTTTCAGAGGAAAACCAAACAAATAAATCACTATTGGTGGTCCCCTAAGAACAAAAACACACAGCCACAATTGTTTGGATCCAAAAGATCCTTCGGGGCAGGTCCCCAACGGCAACGGAAGGGCCTGACTCCGACTCCGCCATCGCCAGCACCTCCGCGCCGAAGGAGTTCCTCAGCTCCTGAAGGCGGATGCGTTGGTGGCCCTTTGATTTCTCGGATTTCAACTTGGCGCTGGGCCCCCCCCCCTCTCAACCTCCCGTTTTGGGAATGGAATACTGAGGGGGCTCTGGCACCCTTTGATTTAGGGCATGCAATCCGTTTAGGAAATGAACAGCTGACACTGCCGCCCAGGATTCCGCTTTGAACTGCGCCAAGGTAGACTTCAGAATGAGTTTCCGTTCGTGAAAGCCGACGGATTTGAGTCTACCCTGGGCAAGACCACCCCCTTGCTAAAAAATGATGCAACCAATGGTGCTAAAATGTCCTCCTCGGTATCCCTTGGGAGGTGGCCTTAAACACCTAGAAACACCCTCGTTTGGCTTCCCTGCATAGAGAGGACCAAATCACGTTGCATGTGTCAAACACATGTTCAACTAACCCCTGCTGCTCCAACGAAATTGGCGCAAAACTCCCGCAAAATGGTGTGTGCATGTGCTTGCAGCCAAAAGGTTTGCCTTCACTGACTAGGGATGTTTCGACATGCTAAACAAATACCAATGTTGCTTTTGGCTTCCCGACCGAATCCGGGCTTTTGGAGGCACCCCGCTCGCGCCTCTGGGGGGCCCTGGCCCGGCCAGGGCGCCTCCCCCCTCTCCCGCGCAGCCGCGGCAAAAGCCGCCGCGGCGGCAGCGGCGGCAGCGGCGGAAGCGGCGGAAGCGGCGTCGGGGGCGGCAAACTGCTGCAACTGCTGCTGCGCCAACGGCTGCTGCAGGTGGCCCTGGCTCGTGCAGCAAGCCCCCCTTCCTTCGCGAGGCTACCCTATTAAGGGTGGTTGTTCCTGATTGTTGCGGAAACACCAACAGCAAAACAGACTGCAGTATTGAACACCTTCTACATTTTGGGAAAGAAAGGCCTGACAGCTCAGCAAAATCCTAGCACCCGAGATCCCGATCCGATCCTCCCGGATGGTGATGCTGAACTCTGACCCGTAGAACATGTCCAAGTCCGTCGCCTCCAGGGCAACGGAAGCCCCTTGTTGGTCGGGTATCGCCAGTTGCCCAGTGACCCTGGAAGAAAAAGTGGGTTCTATTTGATTGTGTGGGGTTCACGATTCAAAAGGGGAACTCACAAAACAAAAGGGGAAACGGGTGCCACTGAACAACTGAGCTTCCTCGAAGAGGCCGCTGCTGCGTCTCACCACCCGAGAGCCCGTGCTGCTGTTGTAGGCGGGCGACAGGAATATGGAGGGGTACATCGCATCTGCCTCGCGAACGAAAGCAACACATCTGCAAGCGAGCACGCCCGCAACCAATGCACTGTTGGTTCTGCTAAGATGGCTTCAAGGCGTCCGTGCACATTCTCCCTTCCTCAGGGGATTGGCCAAACAGGTCCAAACTTGTTGTGTCGTGTGGAGCAATCGCTCCTATCAACCTCAGAAAGTCAGACGTTAGAATCGGCCAACTGTGTGCCATCGTTCTCTCTGTGACTGGAAGAAGTCACACGTGTTTTTTGATTTCTGGACCCCATAAAGCACACAAACTGGAGTGTTTGGTGCCGAGAGATCACCTTCCGAAGTTCTAGGAACCTAGGATGCCCTGCAGTCAATGCAAGAATGCACAAACCCGCACTAAGGCTACGTAAGAATCCTGGGCCCAAAGTCGCGAATTTCAACCAGTGTGTCACTGTGAGCTGAGCCTGACAAGCCTAAATTGTGAGGCATAAGGTGAGACCATATAAGCCACCGACGTCGGTTTAGTTTGCTTGTTTCCCTGTATTATGTTGAAATAGGAGGACCCTAGAATGGTTTTGTTGTTCCTTTGCATACCGACCAAGCTGGGGGTCCAACATTTTTGAGAAAATCCCATATCCTTGTTCCTTGCAGCTGTTTCCTCCTAGGAGCTTGTGGTGGATTCAATAGCATGGAAGCTGACTGGGTGCTGCCTGGTTGTGATCATTCCCTTGCAAGTTGACATGAAACCCCGAAGGGTCCCTCAAAAGCAGATTCCCCTACTCAAATGGGGGACCACGTTTTGCTTGACCCCCAACCAAATTGGGGTAAGCCAAAAGGGTCTCATTTAATTAAGAAGGTCAAACAACAGGTTTGGGGCTTGGACAAAATACATGGTTTGGCTCCATGTCAATCGGGGAAGTAATGTCGGAATCAACCCGGTGGATTCATAGGGGTGCTTCAATTTATAAACGGAACATCCCTAGATTACTCAACCAGAAACCTAGTAATCCTTGTTTCCCACTTAAACCGCAATGTTCCCAGTTGTCCGAGGGTGCTGAACCCCCTTGATTACCTATACGAGTGCATGGAATTGGGAGTGAATGGTTAGCTGTACAATTCAATCCTGGAAATGAGCAGCGTCCAAACCGATTGACCAACATTGTTATAAAGGTTCCTTTCTATCCCTATGAAACAAGTACTAGAACCACCTACCAGAATTGGCATTGGTCGCCATTGGTCGCTGCTGAATTCCATCAAAGCGTTTCTCAAAACGGTGAACCGACCGAGCCATTTGCATGTGACCACTTGGGGTTTTCTCAAAATTGGGGGACCGAAGAGGTTGGTCTCCTTTTCGCCTTTTTCAAACCAACAAAATAATTTCCATTCCAAACCCCTTCTTATCTTGACTGTTCGATGTACTTGCAACCCGGAATGATCGGCCAAGTAGCAAAATACGTTGTTTTTTGTTCTTTCTTTTTTTCTGAAGGCCAAATTCTTGAGCTCATCAGGAGGACCAGACCCTGCCTTGGGCTTTGCGGCTGCCCACACAAAGACACACCCACTGTGAGCACCACCCCCCCCGGCTCGGTCCAAGCACCTCTACGGCGATGCAGTCCTGGTCCCCCGCCCTGCGCGCTTCGGGGCAATGGGAGCCACGGTGTTGTCGCCGAGCCAACACAACTAGACAGCCAAGTGGCTGATGTTTTTTTCAGCCACTGATGCTAGTTTTTGGGGGAAAGTGCATGGAAAAAAGCAGCAGCTGGCGATCCAGGCAACTAAAGGCTCAGGTCGCAACCAAATGGGATTCTCTCCTTTAAGCAGCAACCCACCAGGAAATACTTTTGGAAAGAAATGTTGTTTTCCAGGCTACACAAGTGGACAACAAACTGAACCGTCCTTGGTTTCCTTGGACGGCAAAGGTTCATTCCGAACCCCCTCATCGAAACCAAGCCAAATAGTGGTTTAAAGGGTGTCCCCCCAAAAGTAATCTCGAGAACCCCTCAACATTTCAGCCCACTTTTCTGTCCAGTAGTTTTGAAGATGTGTATTCCAAACGAACTTGCTCAAGTGTGAAGCATGCGGCACTGCCTTAAATATAGATTTCATCAGGGCGGGACCTCCTGCGAAATGGTTGCCTAGGGAGCTGAGCTTCCTGGACTTTGGTCCGGCTTCCGACCCTTTCAGACAGGCTCAAGGAATCTGCTCCAAGGCAACGGGGGGTGAGCAAAAACCAATGGCTGCACAGGCGTCCAGTCAGCTACCTTTCACGAAAAGCCATGTCCAGCCACCATTGTATTTGCTCATCCCGGATGACTCATCCCATAAACAAAAGGGTGTCCAGACGGCTCAAAGAAACTCAAGGGCGCCAAATCTGAGGAATCCGAAGGGATCTTCAGGTCCGGCGAGCTGTTACCTGTCGGTGTCAAAACTCCGAATGGGTCGAAGCTTGCAAAGGTTATCTACGCCCCCCTTCAAAGGCCAAGCATCCCCTGCCCCAAGTGAAGGAACCGGTCTTTGACGATAGCACAACGCCTTCTCACTCCGAGGCCTGCCACTTGCCTTTTTGCCGCCCAGGCAGAAGGGGTCTTTGGCAATGGCGCGGCCCTCTTCGCTCCCGGAAAGCGTTGAGATCTCGGCACGAGAAAACCACATCGCACACTCGATGCTTCTGGGATGGACACACGCAACATCACGAATTGCAATCTGAAATCAGGTGTGCAGCGCCCAATACACAATGCCGTATGCTTCTGCCAACATGGTTATTGTCATACAGGCATGTAGGCCTTGAAGGGTATGGTAGGCCTCACTAAACAACCACATTAATCAGATAGAAGCGAAACCGCTTCTTGAACAACATGCTGCCTGCACCTTGCGCCTGTGCGCACGCCAGTCTGAAGGCTAAGCGGGCAGCAGTGGATTGCAAGGTGCCGCCACTGACACCTCCAAACTGGCTGAAGTATTCGCCTGGGCATCGCGACACGAGAGGAATTAGGGTTTGGGGTGTGAGGTTTGGAGGGGGGGGGGGGGTCGGGGTGTAGGGTTTGGGATGTTGGGGTGCGGGATGTTGGGGTTTTGGGGTGTAGGCCCCAGATCTTGAGATAATCCCACAACCAACCCGGCGAGATGGGCAAATTGGGGACCAAACCGGCCAAAAGTCGGATTCACTCATGTTCAAATGCCTGCGCACACCTGGCTTGCAAGCAAGTTGCGGTATGATTTCAGCGGGCCAAGTTTCTTGACCAGGCTGTAGCAAAGAATCTCATCGACCGCGCCTTGAATCTCAGTGACTTCTCATCAGCATCTTGCAGGCTCTACACCCAGCAAGTCAGTCACAGCACGTGCTCCCTGAGTCAGCCAAGCCGCTGACGCTCCCAGCAGACAGGACAATCATTGATCCTTTCTCTTTGGCTGTAGCGTGGTACTTGGCAATCATTGCGTGCCTGCACAGCTTCAAAGCACATGGTTTGTGCAAAACCACTCTTTCTGTGATACCAATTCAACTGATGCGCAAACGCTTGGTGCATGGCAAGCGGCATCCAGGGAATTTCGCCAGTGACATCAATGTAGTGGGTCGAGTTGTCGACGCAGGCTTTGATTACTGCCTGCCAAAGACCAACCACTCTATCCTCCGACTGCATCGTCGAGATGTTTGACAAGGGGTCCGTCGCAACTCATCTGTGTTTTGTGAGGGCTCGCCACTTTCGGATTGACAACCCCCTGTCGAGTATCCTCTAATGGTGGCGATGAGGTCCAAACATCCACCCCACATGCACGCCCACCGCCGTCCGCCTCGCCGCATACTGCATACGGCCCGATAGCAGAAATCACCACCTCGGGGCTAGGCACATTTGAGCAGCGCCCAAAACCGAATTACTGTTGGCTCTACTACGTGGCTGCAAAGGATTATATGGGCCTGTCCCAAAACTAAAGCACCACTTGAGCCATGTCCTAATCGTGTCATGATTTGCTCTGTCGTTTCATTCTGCTTGCGCCACCTGCTTACGCCACCTTACGCGCGTGGAGTGTTTGCTTACGCGACACATTTGAAGGCTTTGCTTACGCCACCAGCTTACGCCACCTTACGCTCGTGGAGTTTTTGCTTGCGCACAGGTCGATATGACATGACTCTTACTAAACATGCACACGGAGGTTTTGGACGCTACTCACTTGGGGCTTTGGGTGCGCATTTGTTGAATAAACACCTGGCCAACGCCCACAAGCAACCCCCAGCCGACGCAGGACACATACTCGTTGATCATGTCTAAAGCTTTTTTACGGATTCCGCAGGCGTTCCCATGATTCTTATGGCCCAAGTCAAAGGAATATTCGGGAAGCAAAAGCCAACCCTCTCACTTTGTCTGGGTATGAATTCTCATTGGGGATGCGTTTTCATGGGAGTTTATGTGTGACCACTTTTTAGGGTATGACGTCAACCACTGACACGAAAAGAGGTTTTGAGAATGAGAATGGTATCTAGAGTAGGGGGTCCTTTGGTGAGTGATGGTCACGCTTAAACTAACTATGGTCTCGCCCGTGGCAACTCGCTTTCTGAGTGGGCGGGCCAACAAGTTCCACGACTTGTTATTTGCCGGGGGGGGGGGGGCCTAAAAACAATTGATTGATTCAACCAGGTCCACATGACCTCGGCATGGCTCGTCTCAAAATGGTGGATCAGCCACGGTGAGTGGTTTCCTTTCTGAAAAACAACCCCAACAATGCCCCTTAGAAGGTGGCTTGAAACGTCGGTGGCTTCATTTCTGCTCCCTGAAATACGATCAAAAACCACCGCCGTCTGGGAGGTAGGGAAAGTGACTAGTCAACCGCAGCTACGCCCGAACTCTGTAAGCCCTTGCAAGTAGAGTCTCAAAGCATTTGCCAAAGCCCACATCCACCCGGCCTCACATCTGCTCGCCAACTGCGCCAGTTGGGCATCGCTAGTCACCTGGATGATCTCCGGGTCGGTGCTGCAATGGCTTGCGATGTTCCTGGGACAGCAAGGAGCCAGCCCCTCGTTCAAACTTTCCTTTGGAGAAACCCTAGGTTCCAAGAACTGTTGCTGAGGGGGGCTTTGGTTTCCTTAAATGTGATTCAAACAAGTATAGCTTAAACAGCCTTCTGATTTCAAAAAATAAAATGTTTGGGGTGTTTCCTGTTTAACCACAAACAACAAGCATGAGGATGTCACTTTTGTGGACACCCTCGCGTTTGCCGGTTTTTTGGTCTCCAGGTTTCACTTGCTCGACTTGTTTCGGGAATCAGCTGGGTCTTTGGGAATGAACTTGTCGATTCCTTAAAACGAAAGCGACCAAATAGCTGAATCAGCTCGGGGTCAACTCATTCCGAACCTGAAGCCTATGAGGCATAAACTAAGAAGATCTCAAACGGTTCATGCCCAAATTCCATCAATATCCCCACCACTCGAACCAGCAAGTCTGCACTTTTATGGCTTCGAAACCCGCGCTTACGAGGCTCCGAAGCTTGGCGACGTTGCGGCCGGCAATGGCCCACTTTGGGCCCGAGCTTTTACGCAAGCTGAGAACAGCATCCAGGTGCTCAGTCATGAGGCTCCCGGTGAAGCCTGATACTCTCTCCACATTGACACGATAAAGGATCCCAAAGGGAGATTCCTCTAACAAAAAATATGGTTGTCCGGGGGGTCCATGAACATTGTAGAGTGTCTTCCCTGGGTTCATTTGCTGTTTGGCTTCCATGAACATTTCGAGGGGATAACACCCAAACACCCTTATCTTTTGCTGGCGGCTAAAAAGTGATCTGGAACATTCTGAAAACTCGGGGTTTCTATGACGCCATGAGTCCGACTCCACGGGTAACGGTGCTGTTGTTGTTTTTACTAGGGCTAGTTTTCTCCTGGGGCTGGTTTTCCGCAGGGCTGGCAACATCCCCAGCATCACCAGCATCACTTGGCCCTGGGGGCCTATTGGCTCTGATTTAATGGCAGTTGGGAGCAGCCTGGATGTCAGCCCTTCGCTTCGCCTAAATCAACCCCAAACCAGGGCCCTCATGAAGATCTAAGCCAGCCAAAACCCCCCTAACTTAAACCAGACCCCAGCAACTCCCAACTGCCATTAAATCAGAGCCGCCAGTGAGGCTAGCGATGCCGGGGATGCGGCCACAACCAACCAACCAACCAACCAACCAACCAACCAACCAACCAACCAACCAACCAACCAACCAACCAAGTATTAAAAAAAGACAGCCCAAGGAACAAAAAACACCGGATCCATGGATGCGTCGCAACCCAAAAGTGACAGCGCGACAGCGCCCGCCCGTCGGCCTGTGGCGCCCAAAATCGCCACGGCGATGTCACGATCACGTGGATTCAGCACCACCGGGTCCAATTCGTCCAGCTCATCAAAATCCATCCGAGCTCCGAAGAAAACCGGCCCCGAAAGGGTCGGTTTCCCTTTGGTCTTCTCTTCAAACACCCCAAAAAGGTGGGGTGCCTTTAGTTTTCTCTTCGAACCAAACAACAACGGGTTCTCTTTAGTTTTTCCTTATAAGTCAAACCCAAAGAGTCTGAAGACCCAAGGAACACTGCTGGCCGCTGATCTGTCCTTCTTATTCTTCGTTTGGGGTGGGGGGAACTTTGCACACACCCTTTGTTTCTGTGCCGCCCATGCAAATCCAACTCCCAGGGACCTGCGAAAGTGGCTAGGTCTTGCCCCCAAAACATTTCAATGCACAAGCTTGAGCACGGCGTCACGCAGTCCAAGCCCTTGTAGATCCAAAACGGGTTCAAGTCTTTTGGATGCTCCCTTTTTGACTTGTCGCAAGCTGTGAAAAGCTGCGTCTGATGCTTAAGATACGCATGAGCTTTACCTAACATGTTTTGGTAAGCCCAGCCATCAGGAGGGGAGAAGGAGAAGCCAAGCCCCACAAGGATCCTACGCGTTTCGAGCGCATGAGCACTTGTGGGCTACCATACTCGGCTTCAGGAGCGCCGATCGGGCGGCCAGTCCAGTCACGGCAACCAACCCAGCCAGAAAGAAAGGACTACCACTTCTTGTTTGGGGGGAATGCCTATCTCAGGAGACAAACCCCCTACAAACATGGACTGTTGGCTCTACGAAGATGCCTACAAAGGTTTGTAGAGCTTCAAGAAGCCAGGAAGTATAACCACCTGGTGAAATGGCCAAGGGCTGTTTTGTGCACTGCTCATATTGAATATGCAAATCTGGGCAAAGTACGAAATAAGCAATCAGAATAAGGAATCCCCAAGAAACCTTCATCATAGGTCATAGGTGGGCTGGCTTAAACCCTGATCGGTAAGCTTGCCATTTACCCAGACCAGATGTCCACTCCACAAACTCATCACCCAGCACAAAAGAAGCTCAAGTTCAACTTCCTCATTCTAGAAGGCAAACGTTAACGCACCCACATGGCAACAAGGGTTTTGGGAATGAACAATTTTGAAGTCTCTTAAAGGAAGCCACAAGGGATACTTAAAGACTTTATAGGCTCTCCCTCAATCCCTATCAAACCAGGGGGGAAATCAGGTCACGCCGACATCAGGCGCCAGCTGCGCAGTTACCACCGGCACCGGCTCCCGGCTCTGCACCGGCAGCCTACCGAAGCTTCCGTGACCCGTTTCTGGAGCTTGGGCTTTGTGGTACTGTTGACCCTGGATTTATAAACCCCTGGTCCCTGGATATTCAAATACGGGTGTCCCTGGTTTTAGTAGGGATTCAGCACTTGGAGGGGAACACCCCCACATCACCGCCATATTAGTAAACAGGGGTTCATAATTCCGGGGTCAACATTACCTGTGGGATTTTGGGTCAACACCCAGTTTTCTCAGTGCGACTTGTTGGCTTCAGGGGTTTTAAGACCAGCGCTCATCCATCTCAAGGCTTCCCCGGACTGCCATCACTCTCCGCCGGGCGTAAACCTGGGTTCGGCGCCCAAAAGGCCAGACCCAACTCTTAGGCCACTTTTTTGAAGTGCCCTTTCTTTGAATATGTGTCATGGTCAAAACACACTTGCTCGAAAGTTAGGGGCCCAATATTGGTCCCCTACCTCTTAAACTTTGAGCCAATGGTAGGGTTTGTAAACAACCATGGTTGTGATTCCAAATAGAAGTCTGACAACATGGCCCGCAAACTAGGAGTTTTGACCATGATACATGTGGGTTGCAAAAAATGGGAGCTGTTGTTTGAGAGTGCCTTTTTATGTTGCTTTGAAGGGAAACCAAAAGGATGCTTCCACACACACCTCTCGAGGGTCGGGATCGGTTGAAGTCTCTGAGTCGGAAGTCCACCTTGCCACAACTTGAGAACCTTGAAACTCAGGACCTGCCTACAACCCACGAGAAAGAATCAAATGGGTAGGAACCCAGACCAATTTCTGGCTAAGGAAGTCCCCAAAGAACTTTCATCTACCCGGTGTTGATGGTTTATTCAGGTTGCACACCTAGAAGTTCCCAGCCTGTCCCGAAATGTGTTTGAAATGTGTTTTACTCCGTGTCTCCCTTGAACTGTTTCTTTCTCAACGTCACTCGTGCCCTGGAGAGCCACTCATCTATATAGAGGGTCTGGAACCCACACAAGTCCCATCCCGGTGCTTCCGTTTCCGCAAATTCAAATGGGCTAATTACTGCCCAGCCCTTCTTGCGGAATCGCGCCATTCTCCTTCCCGGAGAGCCATCTTGCCAGTCTCGTCGGATTGCACCCGTGCGCTGCGTTTAGCCCACACAAAACCCCAAGTCAGGACAAAGGCCCCCACTCCCAACTAGATCCTCTGGGGCACGTAGCCGGTCCATGTCATGTTCCCTTACCAACAGCCCCGAAAAAGGGCTGATTCAAGAATCAATCTTCAAAACATGAGCAGAAATGCACCAGTTCCCGCTTTGAGGAGGGAGAACCCTCATGACGAAAGGAATCTACAGTATGGGCAATGTGACAAAGGCGCAAAACAGAGCATTGTATGGACGCTCTGCGCATTCCTGGAAGGATGGGGACAAGGAACAACAAAAGGAAGACCAGAAGCTCCAACAATGGATGGCTTCCATTTGGTTTGAAGTCTTTAGCAAACTGGACCACTAGCAGCCATTTCAATGTCAACTTCAAATTAATCCGGAATACCGTACTCATCAGGCGTTGATCCCTTTTAGAGGATGCATTTATGGGCATTCCGCAAACACCGGCTGAATCCGAATTGAACAGTAGTCCAGCCGGGAGCCCCGCTTGTCCCTGTAACCTAGACCTATACTGCGAAAGGTTCCCAAAGACCTCTGCTCTGAAAGTCATTGAATTTGGGTCGACAAGTCAACGGCTTAGCCCCTTACAAGGATCTTCCGAGACTATCCAGGAAAACGTGAATACCTCCGTTTTAGAAAAGCTACTGGATGTAGATGAAACCCCTCCTCCAAAGCAGCAAATTAAAAACACACGAGCAAACAGCGGCAGGGAGTCTAGAAAAACAAGAGCTCCGCCTCAAGCCGCTGCGAGTTCCCACGGTGCCTGGCAGCTTAAAGGCTCAATAACTCATGCCGCCAACATGGCCGAACACGTTGCGGTTGAAATTTGCAAATGGGCGCCAGCGCAGGCACCTGAAGCTGCTCTTTGCTATGTCGGAATCTGAGTTCTAGCATTATGCTGCCAACTGGCCATGGATGTTGCTGCGAACAACACTCGAACAGCTTATCAGTTGAAAAAAATGGTGAAAGTTGCTGAAAATGGCAGGCTCGAACATGACAAAATGTGGTGCGGCTGACTGAACAAATGTGTAATGAAGATGAACTAATTTGCTTTACTACAAGGGGCTCTGCTCAGCCATATCATAAGTTGTTGAGATCGGACTCACATGCGCAAACATACGTCGAGGATTGGATAATGGTCAACGACATTGCTTCAAATTAAACACGGCGCTGCTTAGATAGTTCCTGAGTGTAATGTTGAGCCCATATCAATCAACCCCAGTTTGTTTAAAGGGGGGTGTCCCTGGGTTTAGTGGGGAATCATCACTTTTGGAGGGGAACACCCCGATATTAATAAACAGGGGCTGATTCATATGGGGTCAACATTAGGTGTGACGTCGCAATGCGACACAAAAAGCCAATGTTCTGGTTGAATTTAGCCTGGGGTTGTTTTCATGACACAATGTCGCCACGGCCTTTGCCGGACAGACACACAGTCTCGAGACACAACTGTGCAAACCAGTGGCATATTGCGAAACAACGCTACTTCAGCAAGCGGCCCACAATGAGGCCTGCATGGTTTGGAATCACACATGCGGGCCAGGCGCTTTGGACAAACATCACTGAACCTGTGCTGAACTAGTTGTTTGCGCGAGGCGAAAGGCAAAGGCCATGTTCTCGCGGACCTTTGACTTGACAATGCGACATGTCAATCTTCTTGAGAAGTCTTCCAGCTTTAGGCGGCATGATGAGAAAAGGGGCCCAAACAGCGTTGTGAAGTCGAATCCGCGAAAAGCCTGAGGTCCAAGCCGTCGCTTTGCTTTCAAACGTGAATCGAAACTGGTGCGTGTGGAATGTCTAATGTGAACATAGCCCTTCACTGGGCACAAACACCTACACGCATTGGCGGCCCTCAAGCACAGGGTTCTTGTTGTTCGGCAAGCTGCCGAAAAAAATGACCTCCAGCTGCGCTGGCAAAAAGAGAGAGAGAGAGAGAGAGAGAGAGAGAGCGCTTTAGGGTATTGCAAAGGAAGCTGCCCGCCAACCCCAACGGTGACTTCAAGAGCCCTCCGGCGCCGTCAGAAGTCTTTGGTCCTCTCCGCGGCTGCTTCCACAAGGACAGGGAAGGGTCGTTCTCACGAGCTTTGATGTCCAAAGCTAGTGGCCAACGTGAAATCCAAAATCCAATCGACAGATTCACATACCTTGCGCTTCGCTTGTGCGGCAACACGTGTTTCAAGAAACGCAAAGCTTCGATGCTCCAATAATTTCTGCCTCAATATGCCTCAATGAATCAATAATTTCTGGCACAATTCCTGTTTCAGCTGGCCCATGCGGTCAAGCCTCTTGTCCTGAGATGTCTTTCTGGCTTTGCTCTCACGAGGCAGAACACTTGCTGACGGCGTGCTTGCGCACATCCGCGTTACGCAGGAAACATAACCCTCTGACTGCATAGTCTACGACATACTTTGCGGAAGACCCCAGAACCTCCCACCCCGCCATCCGGATATCCAGCCACCGAAACAACCGCTTAATCGCGCCTGTTCCCAAGGACTGGCAACTGGCACGTCGCTGCGGAGACACCTCCGACCGCGCGCTGGACGGTCTGTGCCAATCCAGTGTAGGGGAATGTGTCAAAGCAGGGGAACCACCGAAATTGTGTTTTTTCGTCTTGGTTTCCCTTGAATCTTCAGCCGACGCGCATCTGCCCTTGGTGCAATCTCAAAATGTTCTTTGAAATCTTTGTCCAATCCCCAAAGGGACCTTCACGGACGAGCCTGCTTTGTCCACAGGCGAGCTTGTGTCAATGCCAAACGAATCAGATATGCCCTCAGCCAGCGCTCACCGTATGCGGATTGGGCTGCTTCCGGCTGTGCCAGGGGCGTTAGGATTCTGAGGGAGAGCATTCAAAACAAAAAAAAAAACGGCAAGATAGTCGCAAGTAGCTTGGACCTGGATTTCTACCACCAGGGGGCTAAGAATCTAGTGACAGGGTTCCTGATATGTGAGACACATCATCCCAACAAAAGGAAACTCGTTTCAGAACAAAGGTGATGTTTGAGCCACACACACACACAAAAAAAAGAAGAACATATCAGGACCGCTGCTCTGCTTACAGGTAGGGTACAAGCAAGCTGTGCTTGGTGCGGCCGGGCAAAAGGCTAGTCTCAGGAAGATGTCAGGGAAACCTAGTCACGTTGGCGTTTCAGCTACGCATTGTAAGAGGCGGCTTATACACTCCTCCCACCATCCCGTTCTGAAGAGGTAGTCATTAGCATTATTCATGCTGTGAAAATCCCAGCCATATGCCACTAGGCCGATCAAGCCAAGGGTTCTTGTACCAGTTACTTTGATAGGCAAGCAAGGGAATCATCTTTGGAATCGTGTTCGCGGGTAGCCGATACTGAGTCCCGAATCAAACAAAAACATGAATCACCAGCAAATTGAGTGTACCTAGCGAATGTGAGGTGGGTGTTCCTTGCAAAGTAAGGGACATCCGTCAATGGAACACCCCCCGCCCAAAATCAAGTGAGGGCTGATTGGTTGGCTGGTGCCGGGAAACAAATTCTACTTTCTCATTTGCTGGTTGGATCAGTCTTCCCTTACTTGCTTGTCTCAAAACGACCAGTTTATCCTGGGTTCAATGGAATCCGTAAGGTCAGAAGAACACATATGTGGCCCAACCGCAATCTCATTACTCTGAGTCACGAAGAAACACAATGAACATAATGAGTGTATTTATCAATAAGAGCCCTTTGGTGGACATCAAAAGTAAGTGGGGATTCATGTCCACCAACCACTTTTGAGGTGGGACCCTATTACAACTCATAGCCATACGTTCTGACTCTTTTCCACATTTAGTCTACCCTATCCAGTGCGTCCACTTACCACTATAGTAGGTAACCAGGGAAAACGGTGATGTGAAGCCTAGAGGTGGCCATACCTAGAGGTAAGTGGAAGCACAGGGCGAATGTTGACCCCGGATTAATAAACCGCTGTTTGTTAATTGTGGGCGTTCCCCTCCAAAAGTGACGATTCCCCACTAAAAGCAGCAACCCGACCCCAATGTTAATAAACAGGGGTTTATTAATCCGGGGTCAATATTCCAAAATCGTCTTGGAGGAGACCTCAGCATCCCTCCGTGGAACCGATCCGTTTTCTGTTCTCCGGGCAAACCGCCTCCGCCAATCGTCGACTGGACCGGCTTGAAAGCGGCGCCTGTGAAACGCAAAGAAGCTCGGGGTAGTCTACCTCGGGTTCTAACCAGGGCGACTTGCCACCAAGAACATCATCTCCAAACAAGGGCAGCTGGGCAGTGGGGAAATTTCAGTGCTTTTAGCGTCTCATCCAAACAACCGCACAAAAATGACATCAAAACACACTCCCAAACACAACCTTGAGCATCCAAGATGTGAATGCCAGCTGAAGGGTGTCCCTGGCAGCACCTTGCGCAGCCTCACGTGCCAAGAAAAAAGCACCCTGCCTCCACGAACCCTTGAACACGGGGGCATCTACCCACTAAGGGGGCATGATTCATCGTGATATCATTGTTTGTAGTGGAGACTCCAGCGACTCTTAGATACCCCCACGCCATACATACTTACAAAAGCAAAACACTTGCAAGTGAGTATGTAAAGGACATTTTCATAGGTGAGTGTGTTTTGCTAGAGTGTTCCATGAAGACAACATGCGGGCTGTATCACGCTAGCTGAAATCCGATGAGCATCCTTTTGGGCGGGTTTGCAGAACTGACAAAGGGGATTCGGGTGCGCCCATGCCATGACCCTTAAAATCTATCGGCTGACTGCCACCTATACCCTCTCACCAACATGGAGCCTGACTGGAAGATCCAGAAGTACGCATCCCTCAAACAGGTGAGTTCCGTGTTGGTAGGGGTACCCACACCTCTTGAGGTTCATGACTGGTGCATGGGCAAACGCGCGCTCGGATTTTCCACAGCGAGCGCCCTTTTAGCGTGCGTGAAAACTCGCCGGTGGATGCTGTTCCGAAGGCCCAGGTCGTTCCATCTCCGACCCTTCTGGTGAGCTATGGGGATATGCACGGCGGTTTTCGGTCGATATTGACAAAGCCACACTTGTTCAGAAGGTCCCTTCTTCTGGATTCCTGTCTTCCAGGACCCCCTGATTTATAAGTGTTGGGTTTGGCAACCAAAGGTCATTAGCAATCAAAAGAAAACCCTGACCCGCGTCATAAAGAGTCAACAGGGTGGGACACCAGCCTGAGTGTGATTTGGAATTCTTGGAGACCCTTTTGGTGGACATGTTTTACATGGATTCGTGCAACCGATCCTCGAGGGTGTTCCTCATTTTGGAAACGGCATTCCCTTGGAAAGGCCTGGACAGGCGATCTGTCCTACTGAAACGCGAGAAAGAAACGCCTGAGCTCTCCCTCTCCGGCATCTTTGCAACACATACTCAAAATTATTTGCAGCCCTCAATCACATTGCAAGAACAAAACAACATCGTACCAAGAACTGTACTTGGATCCTGACTGTCAAAGATCAGCATAAGCAAGGGTGTATGTCCAAATGAGGCTTGTGTTGATTTTATTTGGGCAACATACTCTGTTCACAAGCCCCGCACCTTGATTCGGTGTCCGATCAACAAGACTTTACAAACCGGAGCTCAGAAAACCCAATAAATAAGTGTGCCTTTTTTTGAGCGTGCCTGTTTTTTTTTTTTGTTAATTTTGGGCGGGGGCCCCCTATTTGAAGACAATAAGTAAGCTTGTTTCAACCCCGAAACGAGCTAGGCCGTTCTGAGAAAAGCCCATGGCGAAGGGATTTCAAACCGACTTCTCCGAGATGGGCACAATGACAGGAGGCTTCACCGGTCTCACCGCGCTCTTCACGTCGGGGTCGTACCTGGTCCAAAAATAAATGCCAAACAAGAAACCGTGATTCTCTGACATGGATCGAAGGTGTCAAAACAAAAGCGAGCCCAAAAGTTGTGGTACTAACACCACCGCCCAAGATGCGCCAGGATCTGCAGCACGACCACCAAGTTGAGAATTGCCCCAACTGCGTGCGAGACCAACGACAACGTGTCGCTCCCGAGCAGCTGCAGCGTGGTCAGGAAACGCGCCACGCTGCCCAGGAACTGAAGGAAGAAGGTGATGGCTGACCTGGGTGTTTCTCAAACAGGGGTGCCCTCGAATGACTGGCGTCCCTTTGGTCCAGCCAAGGGGTTCACCATTGGAGACACTCCCGCCTCGGGTGGAATACAAGGACCCAAATAATTAGAATGACATCGGTTTCTTCAAAACCAGACCAAGTGATCATAACTTGGCCCTGGGCTACACAGAAAAAGGCCATGATCGAAACATGAATTATGCTTCATACCAGTCAAGCCCAAATCTAACCTAGTTTTGGAGAATGCCCCAAGAGAGTGATGTCCGTTTTTTGTGTGTAGCCCCGGTTACTTTGCTCGGTGCAGGCTCAGAAGGCCATCGGGACCCTCGGACGGGGTCTACTTAGGTGGGAGGACAAACTGCTTACCCAGCTCACCGGAGTGGGAACCCCAGTACACTCTCCATGACCCTTGTGGTAGGGCTACTAGCCATGTATTCAACCAGAATATCTCAGTATAGTACAGTGAGAGGGTACAGGTCGCACCAAAAGAAAAACAGATGGCACTGGTAAAGGATTAGAACAAGTAAAGGCAGTTGCATCCTGCTTTCGAAAACTGACCTAAAAAGGACACCCATAGCCAAGCGACAAATGTATGGAGCGACTAAAATCTACTCAATGGCTATCCCGCAGGCTGCCACCCGAGTGCTGCGTGTAGGTGGGAAGATCAACGTCGAACCATACAACAGCCAAGCCACAAGTGAACGGGCTTACATAGCCACTGGGGTCAACTAAGGGATTCTACTAAGGGAAAAGCATGACGGCCATCGTGAGACCGCTTTTAAGCAACGCCGAGATTTAAAAAAAAAAAAAAAAAAAAAAAAAAAAAACATGGCCAAGTGACAACATGAGGTTGAACATCCAAGAGAGAAGGCACAGGGCGCAACAAAACCCTGGAAGGAAAAAGTGTGTGTGTGTGTGTGTGTGTGTGTGTGTGTGTGTGTGTGTGTGTGTGTGTGTGTGTGTGTGTGTGTGTGTGTGTGTGTGTGTGTGTGTGTATGTGTGTGTTTCTTTTGTTTTTTGTTTTTCTGTAGCCCCACATTCTGCAGCCCAAAGTCCAAAGTCAAATCAGCGGAAACCATGTGAGTTACAGCAGTTACTTGCTCCATGGTTAAATGGATGTGGTGTTCCCACATCGTTCTCCAACCATGGCAGAGCCCCGACTTGACCTCGTTTTCCAACGCTGTGTTCGCGATCTCAACCAATCCTAGCTCGTTTTCGTGGTGGTTCCGCCTGGCGAGCTTACTGTAGCCGTCTGCGAATAAAGGCAGTCGCTCATGTGCTGACCTACAAAGAAGATGGCCCAGTGATATGTCTAGGTTGAGAAGCTGCACACCTGAAACGCACCAACGTCCACTTTCAGGTCACACCCAACAAACGGAACGTGACTAAAACCAGCCTTTAAACATGTATTTTTTCTGAAGAGTCGGACAGTCGGCTTTTCTGTACAGAATTTCTCTCTGCACCAAACTCTGCCGCGCGGATTACTTTGGGAAAGTCCAAGCGACAAATGTCCAGTCTGCTGCGTCTGCCAATTCAGCATGATCTGCGGCACACGGGAGATGGCCGTGAGAAAGGTGGGGGCGGTTCCCAGCACCAGCAGCAAGACCTGGTGAGTTCTCTATTGGCCGAGTTGGAGTCTCCCAAATCATCACCAAAGGTGCCAACAAAAACCCACATGTGGGAGCTTCAAAATTAGGAAGTTTGAGGGCCCTTGGATTCTGGGGTGTCGCAAATGTTGGAGGAGCCATTTTCGGTGCCCATTTTCCAGTTCAAGCTCAACCCAAGATGAATTCGAACCCAACACATGGTGTATCACAGCTGGGAGTTGATCTTGACCAACCCAACAGGGGGCTTTCCAACAAAAACAAACATTCAATGTGTGGGGGTCTCAAATGTCCTCTGAGGGCCCTCGCGATGTCCTAAATCATGATCCCCAAAAGGGCCCCCCAAAAGGGCCCTTCGTCCAACAAGTTGGTTTGTTTGATGGCTGTGTGTTCCAGGTTAATATGAGGGCCCTTGCATACTTAGAATGGAGTTGTAAGATACTGTAAAACCAAATCAAGTCCTGAGTACTGTATGAGGATGTTGGATGTGTGTAATGATTTGGGCGTCCCTTTCAAACCAACCAACATGGAGACTTCCCCAAAGAAGCATGACATGTGGGAACTTCACCCTTGGCCTCAGAGGATGAAATTCAAGATTAGGCTTGGACTGTCAGAATGGGACGGTGTCAAAATGGTGCACCCCCCCTTCTAAATTGTAGTTTTAACAGGAGCACCCATGGGACAACCATGTTGGAGGCGAGCCTAGTTTGACACAAACCCCAACTCTTCGGTTTCTGTCGGTGTCCCTTTCCTGCCCACCTCTTGGTCATGGCCCTTCAGTATAATGGCCACGCTCGCAAGGATCCACAGCAATAAGCCAAATGTCCTGACAGGCGAGCAGCAGCTGGTCTGTGGTCCTCTGCTGATTTCGGAGCATTTGGGAAGCTGCAAACAATAGCTGAGCTGTTCAAAATTGTAGAGTTGGCCAATCCTAACCCGCAAGTCCATAAGCAACCACTTTAGCACAAATTGTCTGAGCATTCCGCTTGCCTTCCAAGAAGGCCGGCTTTGGGCCCTTTCGCCACAAAAGAATTTGGAATTGCCTTTTAAGGCCAAGGATGCAACTGGACGCGAGGATCGAGGCTTCCTTCTCTGGGGCCTCCTGTTTTGTTGCGCTTGGTTTGTTGCGAAAAACCCTCCAAGCTCTATTCAAGCAAAGCTGGAACAACCGAGAGGCTGCCGCCTTAGTATGTTTGGAACAATGAATCGATTTGACTGGTACATGAAAACGATGCAAACTGCAACCAGTGCCGTCCATCGCTGAGAGTTGATTCCTCCTTTTTTTCACTCTTGCTCTTTTTGAGCCCGCCTGCTCTTCCAGTCGGTCCCTGCGCGATAGACCCACACCAGGATCACTACCGCAGTGGCCTGCACAGCCACGATGGCCTGCTCGCCCCAGCCGGCCAGGGGATAGCCCTTGAGCAGGTTGTAGTACCTCCGCCAACTCCCACCCAGCTGCTTGTTCCCATGTCCAACAAGTACTGTCCAAACAGCAGTGGTCGGGAGCTGCTCACATGCATGGTCGCGCCAAATTTGACGATTTCTGTCTGTGATGCCAAGTCGGTCATTCCATCGACTACTTTGTCATTTTCAAAAGGCTTCCTATCACAGAAATGGCCCTAATCAAAACACAATATTCCACAATCTTGTAAGACCTGATGGGCACAAGGGTCCCAGTTGCAACTAGTGCCCCGGTGAGAGAGCATTGGAAGGCTCACCAGTGACCAGTTGAAGAGGGGTTTCCGCCACAAAACAAACAAAGGAGAAAGTGCCACTGAACAACTGGGTAGACTGGTGGAACGTAAAAGCCAAAAGCTTTCCTCTGTCATAAACGACTCAGAGCGGCCCCGTCACATTAAGTGCAGGAATGTGGTGTTTTGTTGGTTTCATGCCACTCACAGCTTGTTGTTTTCATCATTTTTTGGGTGCGAGGGCGGGGGGGGATAAAAGGAGAAGGCAGTGAAAGGGTCCCAAATAGGGGTCTTTCGAGATCTCTGATTCCTCTCTCCTGAAAACAACCTTGATTCAACCGAATCCTGGGACAGCCTGTCCCATCGGGAAGGAACTCCTTAATGAGGTGCCCCGGAAAAATCAATCCCTTCCCACAACTCTCGAAGAGCATTTTGTGAAATAGTTGACCCCTGTCGTTAGCATAACGATTCATAGAAAACCATTCCCAAAGAAAACGTTTCTAAGGGGTTCTAATCAAAAGGGTGCTGAGAATCCTTCTGCATGGTGGGTACCAGCAGGTCTCTGATGCACAACCATTCCCCCTCTGACCAACGCCCCCGTCATCACTGGACGGGGTCCTTTTTTGGTAGAAACAGGCTGGTAAAAAAACCTGGTACTTTTGGTTCTTTTCTTGCTGTTTGCTGTTTTTGGGCTATGATATGTCGAGTTGCAGTTGTGAGCGGGGCAGGGGGGTGGGTGGGTGGGGGAGGGGGTGGGGGGCGGGGGGGGGGGGGGAGGATGTTACCGTCGTTACGAAAGGCTTGCGCGCACACGAACACACATACCAGTGCACACAGGTTGATGCATGGCCAATGTTGGGTGCAAATGCTGGCAAAAAGCGTCTGGAGAGCCACCAATGTCCATCCCTGCAAACATGAGCTTGCTAGAAGAGTTTCTGTGACGAGAGCAAGCAAACGACCCGCTTGCAGCATAGTGGGGGCTCAATGTAGGGATAGAGAGTGGCAATCATTGCAAGTCTATACCCTGGAGTTCAAAAGGCCTTTTCAGAAACGGCCGTTTGTCGAAGAGCCATTTGTAGCAAGAATGCATGTTTTCACTGGTTCCGAAGAGCCATTTCTGGATTCCCATGTTGGCCAATAAGTAAGACCGCATTTCTGGACTACCATGTTGGCCAATAAGCAAGTCCCCCCCACACAAAGCTGGCAATCATATAGGCCCCAAGCTCACATTAGCCAAGTCAGAATTTGACTCCCTGAACTTCCAAATTCCTTTGACTGGCTGTTTGTCGAAGGACCTTAAAAAAAAACGCGTTTTCACTAGCTTTGGACAACCATTTGTGGAGCTCGATGTTAGCCAATAAGCTACCGCGGCCGTAGTCCAGCCATTTCGCAAGCCCGTGTTCAAGCTAGGCTCGTTTGGAATCGCCTTTTGTCTTTGAAAAGGTTGCGCAGTTGAGCTCTGTAGACTTCAGCTCCGCCACTTTAACTTGCATGCCTTTCAGGCTGAGGTGGCATTCGGCCCTCCGAGACTGCTGTAAGACGCCCATTGCGCCAACACGCACACGTAAGAGAGACAGCGTTAAGCCGACCAAGCTCACATAACACACAAGGCTCCTGGCTGCCGGGCCATGACAACAGCCATTTCGGAAAATGCCGCTCGACGAATTTTAAACATACGTTTGTAAGGACCCTAAAATGGTCCAGCGTTTTCTTAGAATGGTCAAAGGCATGGGCGAGGACGCCCAGGGTTTGTAAAAATGTAGTTTGCCTTGCTTAAAAGCTCTCAGAGCTATTGGCCAAGACCTTCAAAAGGCAACCCCAACCCACTGAAGCACACTGAATCGCAAAGCAAATGCCATACCAAAGAGCCATTTCAGAATTGGCCGTTTGATGTTCCTTAATAGGCCGTTGGTGAAGACCCACAAATGGCCGAGCATTTTCTTAAAATGGCCGAGGGGTACTAGGCCATTTCAGAAATGGCCTCCGACGTCCAGGGTATATAACAGCCCAGCTTCACTCTAATGTGTTTCGCTACACGCGCAGCTTGTTTGGAGGCATCGGCTTCCGATTGTGAAGGATTTCAGCCGTGATCGTTGGCTGCAGCTTGTCGGTTCAGATTTTCGAGCAATTGAACTCCAACTATGCTAAAAACATTGGGTTTTGGACCATTTGTGCACGAAGACAATTCTGTCCTAATTGTCCCGTTCACTGCCAAGCATGAGCCAGAGATGACAAACTGCAGAAAAGCCAGGGGAAAACACGTGTGATGCAGCCTTTGCCTCCAGGTTTTTTAACAGCCTGTGACCTTTTTTGTGGGGATGGCTTTCTTCAGGCTAACAGTTAAAAATGAAAATGACCTCCTGAAACATGGGGCTGGGGTATATCATTGTTGGTGTCCTACATGTAACAGGGCTCTCCGCAATTCCCACTCAAAAAATACCCCAAGTGAAAGCTCGGCCAAAAGTGGCTCGCTGGGTGACTTTTGAATAGGCTGAACAATTGTCAGGGTTCCATGATGATTTGATGGTTGTGTGGCTCCCGCAAGTGCCGAGTTTTAATAGGTTGGGGTACTTTAACACGAGCTTATATACTTCATAATTGCGAGAGAACCATGTGTATTTGTTTAGCCCCGTCTTTGTTACACTCCTGCAGATTGACATGAAACCTCCACAACCATAGAGGATATGCATTTCGGACACAGACCCCTCTTGGGCTTCCGTGAATTTCCGGAAAGGAGACTGCGGATTCGAGGTGTTCGAGGTGCGAAAAGCTGCTCGCCGCAATGGCATCCAGCGCGCAGGAGACTTCGGAGAGACCTTCGGCGCTCGAAAACTTCACCTTGGTGCCCCGCAAAATGAGAGGTCCATGTGATCCATGTGGCTGATTGGGGTCAGTCTCAAAGGGAGAATCCACCTGTTGGATTGCGGTTAAGAAGCCAAAAGCCAACTGGCCAAATTTGGGAGTCCGAATCATATCAGGCACTCCGGTTGTTACTCGTTTTCGGCTTCTTTCCAGATTCGTGGTTTGGCGGTTAGGGGTCAAGAACCAGGGCAGCGGTTCAAATTCCCAAACCAAACCAAATACTAAATGACTGACAAGCACAACCTTGCACCACAAAGGCTACCCAACCAAAGAGATGTGAAGGGCGGCTATCCGCACCCATCCATAGTTGGGCCTACCCCTTGCTATCCTGAATCCTCCCAGGTTTTAATTACGGCTGATATATCCTTTGGAAGACAAGATGGCGCTGGGGAATGACACCTACGCATATATGTGCAATGACCTAGGGAAACCAACCGGAAACCAACCGATTGTAGAGGTCTGTAGAGGCCCGCACACCACGCGCGCATGCCTTTTTGAGTTGAGCATTCCAACCCCCTGCAAAAGGCTGACCTGATGACCCCATAGGGTCATAATATATATATATATCTATCTATCTATCTATCTATCTATCTATCGCATAAGCACGCGTGAGGAGCGGCGACTGCCACTTTTTGAGGGCCTTGGAAACTCCAGGAATTTGTGTCTGCCGGTTAGAGGGGGAAACGGTCATGTTCTCAGAAAGCCAACTCTCGGTCGTAATGTCGAGGAGCGTGCCAGTCAGAGTGGTTTTGTGGTAAGAAAGTGTGTGGGAATTCCCGTGACTATTTCATCAGATATCCGCCGACATTGCTCGGCGTGTCGGACCCCGCCCGACGTCTGATACACAGGGTACACAGGGGGGGGGGGGTCCCCCACGTACCGCGCGGAAATTTGATGACGTTTATAAACGTAGTCTTCGGGGAGCCGGTGTTGCCAAACAGGGGTCCCAGGCTCGAATCCCCTGCCGGCTCTTTCTCCTTTGGGTGAAAATCTGGAAAAACTCTGTGTTTTTGGACGTCCTCTTTGCGAAAACGCTGGACAAGCCGTGTTTTTTGCGGGAAATGCTGGGGAGCACAGGGGGAATGCAAGGAAGTGCAAGCAAATGAAATAGGAAGTCAACATGACAGGAAAGCAACGGGAAATGAAAGGGAAACAAAGGAAAACTGAAAGGGACATGAAAGGGACAGAAATGAAAACAAGGGGAGTGCAGGGGGAATGAAAGGGAAACAAAGGACAAGGCAACCAATCGGTACGACTAGGGAACTGACTCGCAACGAAAGAACGGGACATGCATGGAAAATGAAGCGGACATACCGAGAAAATGACAGGGACATGAAGGGGGAGTTGACAGGAATGGGAGGCACATGACCAGGACATCATGGGAAACGTGAAAAGGACATGAAGGGGAAATCAAGGGGAAAGCCAGTAGTGCGATGACAGTTCAGGATCATGAAGGGGCAGTGCCCGGACATCAAGGCAAACTCAGGGGGGACGTGACGCTGCAATGCAGAGAGAGAGAGAGACAGGGAGAGAGCGGGAGAGAGAGGGAGAGAGAGAGAGAGAGAAACACAGAGAGAGAGAGACACAGAGAGCGAGACAGAGCCAGAGTCAGAGAAAGAGACAGAGAAAGAGACAGACAAAAAGAGAGAGAGAGAGAGAGAGAGAGAGAGAGAGAGAGAGAGAGAGAGAGAGAGAGAGAGAGAGAGAGAGAGAGAGATAGAGACACAGAGAGCGAGACAGAGCCAGAGTCAGAGAAAGAGACAGAGCAAGAGACAGACAAAAAGAGAGAGAGAGAGAGAGAGAGAGAGATAGCGACACAGAGAGAGAGAGAGAGACACAGAAAGACAGAGAGAGAGAGAGACAGAGAGAGAGAGAGAGACAGAGAGAAAGAGCGAGAGAGAGAGAGAGAAAGAGCGAGAGAGAGAGAGAGAGAGAGAGAGAGAGAGAGAGAGAGAGAGAGAGAGAGAGAGAGAGACTAGGTCCTCCAGTAAGTAGTAGAGAGGTTAGAATAAGGGTGCCCTTTGTCTGTAGAGGGGCGTGGACAGGAAGGAGACAGGGAGACAGAAAGAGACAGAGACACAAAGAGAGAGAGACAGGGAGATTGAGGAGAGAGAGGCTTGGGGGGATGGGAAGGATGGGGAGCAGAGGGGGGGAGAGAGGACGACAGAACACGCGGGGGAGGAGACAAGGGAGAGAGGAAGAAGGAGAAGAGGGAGAGGACAATGTCGGCGGACTGAGCCGGAGGCTCTAAAGTATCAAAAGTTGGCACTACCAAAGCGCAACTAAGTCGCCATGAGATATATTTGCGGCACCTTGACGATGCATGCTCCGGCAATCACAGCGTAGCCCAGCCATGCAGCGGCCACATCGGCGACCGACATGGCGAGAATTGGATTCTGTACAAAAGAAAACAGCTGTGCCCTCGTCCGCCCGCCAAACAAGTGATACATTCTTGCGCAACATCTTGCATATTGGGGGTAACAATATGGTCGCTACCTGGAAATTGACCATATGTCACTCTGTCTCCGCCTTCATTGATGGGCAAGACAAAGGAAGTGTCACAGCAAATGCCGCCAACTAATTCACTTTGAGCTTTGAACGTCAAGAAAATGGGGAGGCTCCAACGAATGAGGTGTGGCTTGTTGGCTGCCACATGTGTAGTCCCCCGATTTCAGAAGCCCATGGTTGATCCCCGATCCTGAGGTCTTTCACAACTTGCAAAGGTGGGGTTGGTTCTCACAGTGGTGTTTCACATCTCCGTGTATTCCCCAACGGAAGCCAAAGGCCACCCCCCCGCCAAAAAAAAGGGGGGGGGCTCCGGCAAGCCCCAAAGGTGTCCCTCCGCGAGGTCCGTGCGCGCGGACTGAACTTCTGAATCCGCCTCCAGAGTTGGCACGCTGGGCTGCGATCGGCTGAGATATTCCCGACCTGAAGCTCGAACCGTTGGCTTCCTTTTTGTGTTTTTGAGCAAATCCAAAGGGTTCCCACATGTTTGCGGGATGCGACCCTTCAAATGTAATACCATGTTTTCTTGTTTTTCCCCAACAGCTGAATGCTTTGGGGTCTCAGCCCAGATAGGCTCCGGGGTGGTCCGGGGCGGCCCAGAGCTAAGGTTCCACGAGGATTCCACCAGGGTTCCACCGCATGCTGTTGGGGATATCACCTGAGCTTAATTAATTTGTTTGATGGAATGGTATTTTACACTTTACACGGCCTCAAGAAATGATCGAAGGCAAGCGTTTTCCCGTGTTTGATCTTCGTCGTGTTGATCCCTTCGATCTCTGGTCACGAAACAGGCAAAGAACACCTGAAGAAAATGGCATGGATCTAAACAGTTGGCCAGTTTCAAAAGACAACCATGGCCCCAACGCCTAGACTGTTTGGTCGCAGCCAATTCTTGCCGACTCTGCGAAGCTACACGTGGCGACAAGTGTATATTATATATATATGTATGTCTTACCTATATATATATATATGTGATTCGGGCACGAGCCTGTGCCCAGGCAATGGGTAAGTTGGGGTAAACAAGCCACAAAAGAAAGGTTCCCCAAAAGCAAACCAATCCCCGGTCCCAAAGATCAGGGTTTCCCACACACCAGAGAACAACAACCAAAGGAAAACAAACCAAACAAGAAAAGGGTTAACCCGCAACCTTGGTCGACAACAGGCCGCACGACTGGTCCCTACCAACCTGGCGGCGGCCCGAGGTCTCTTTCTCCCCCGAGATGCCGTCGGTCGACGCAGGGGTTCGGCGACGCCCATTCGAGGCGCGACGGAACCCAAAACTTGAGCCAAAACACCACAGGTCGGTCACTAACGCGACGTTCCCTGATGATGATATGAACCATGGCTAATCACACCCCCCTCACGAGGAGCCCGTCATATGACGGGTGGAGCGTGCCATTTACTGATAGGATTTAACTGCTCGCATGCGTCCGCAAACAGCTGGACACTACCGCCGTCAGCGGTGGAGCAAACCCACAAAGGCAGTTGCGCGACATCCCGGGCATTAAATTCCCGCCACCACCCCGAATTAATCGGGGTAACGCTGTCCAACAAACCTTGTGGAAAAGTCCACATGACGACATTAGGTCACAACTGTTTGCATCAACAATGCAAGAAGTTTAATTCTTATCAGAAGCCATGAAATAAAAGATAACGTATGTCCATTAGTACCCTCGCCTAACGGCAAGAGGTACCCCTGACCATGCGTACCTGAAAAATGCTTGAATTCCGCAAACCCGGGAGTAACCCCCCATCAGTTTGCTTTCCCTCTCACTCATACTGCTTCCGGATGAGCACGTCCAGCAGCTCAGCAGCGGTACGGGAGAGACATGACCTCCGCGCCTCAGCGGTCCGGGAGGAACATCACCACCTCCACACCGCGCCGACCATTGGAGAATGGACGCAAGCCTATCGGCCGCAATCCCCGTGACTCAGCCTACCGGCTATCGTCACGTCTCCTCCGGTCACGCCCGCCCCGCGCACGGTCCCTATCACGATCCCTTTCGGATCTCCTGCGATCATCTCGCCTTCGATCTCGCTCCCGATCGAGTGAATCATCATCACGACGATCACGAGCATCGTCCCTCCTCCTGTCGCGATCATCCTCGCGCCGCGGACGGTATCTGCGCCTCCTCGACTCTCTGGAATCCCTGGTGTCCACGGTCCTAACGGACCTCCGAGAAGGAGTACGGGAAACATCCGATTCCCTATGCCTCCTCCCAGATCGAGAGTTCGTCACGATCTGGTTGAGAGCCTCCAGTGCCGACGCGTCCTCACCATTCCTGATGAAATCCCTGACCTGCTTGTTCAGCACTCTGTTGGTGGAGATCGACAAGAAAGCGTCCACCACCGAACTCTCAGGCAGCACCAGGAAGTGACCCTCCACCGGGCTCGCCGCAGCCCGCTCAGCAGACTGCAGCCGGATCTCCCCGCCTTCAGGCTTCTTTGCCATCGCCTTGGAGGCCGTCAAAGGCGCTACCGCATCCTTTGCCGAAGATCTGCCAAGCGCGGAGTGAAGATCATCCCCGCTAGCTTCTCTCGCTGCCGCACCTGGTCTGCTGTCGACGTCGCCAGGCCTCGTGGACGCCTCCCGCTTTGTCGACTCCTTCGCAGCCTCGTCGGGATCCCAACGGGATTTCCTTTCTCTCTTCTGTCCTTCGGCCGACCCGCGGCTACCGCCGGGAGCGTCACCTCCTCCTGTCTTCTCCTTCTTGACCTCAACCTTCGGTTCGGCCTGCTTCGTCTCCTTAGCCACAGCTTTTGGAGCCGGGGCACCCTTCGCCTCAGATGCTGAAGCGGCCTTCCCTCTCGGCTCGGCCTTAGGAATCGGGGTCATTTTAGCCTTGGCACTCGGCCTGGCCCCTTCAACCACCATCTCGGCCCAAGACTTCTTCGGCTGAGCTGCTGCTGTATCAACCTCCATCGGAGCAGGTCCAGCATCGTCCTTCGCCTTTGGGACAGATGGGCTACCGCCCTTACCAGATCCTTTACCTGGCACATCACCTGATTTCGGTGGTGGGCCGGAAGGACTACCGCCCTTACCGCCCTTTTCCCCTTTCTTCCCTTTTCCTTTTCCGCCCTTGGGGACCGGCTCCTGCTTGGGACCAGGACCCGGCGCAGCATGATGCACCGATTGGAGTCCCTCGATGTCCACGTTCAAAGGTTCGGGTTGACGACCGTCAAGAACCGTCCTCACCCTTTCGTCACTAACGTAGACGAACGGGTCACGGAAGGGTGCGGGAGGCTCCGACTGTCCGGCGCTGATCGCCTTCTGCACCTTGGCTATCGCCTCCTTCAACCTCTTCTTCTCATCGTACCCGTCTCCGATACCATGTACTTCCTGAGCTGCGAAATCAACGCATGACTCTCCAGGATGTCCACGTCCTTTCGATGGGTCGGGTACAATGGGGTCAGATGACCAGCCGCAGAACCAATCACGTATGCCATCGGAATATAGAATGACAAGTACGTGTCATGACGAGCGAACTTCCTAACGGAAGTCGTCATACGCCTACCCCACTGAGCAGCGTGTCTTGGGTTGGCCCGGAAGTACTCCGTGACCGACTCAAATCTATCGACTTGGTTGGTCTTGATCAGGTGCTTCGCCACCCACTTCTCCACGAACGCATCCGAGGCCGAAATCCCGGACACATAGGAGAATTGGAAGAGCACCTTCGCCAGCTCATCCCACGCCGCATCGACACCTCCCTTGTCTTCACCAAGATAAGGGGGAAGTCTGATGCCGCTCTGCACCGTCATCCTCAGATCGGATGCCATCGAATAGGAAATCAAATTCCTCTTGATGACTCCGACCACCTCGGAGGGAATCCTCCTGGGCTTGAACTGCCCCATGGTCCTCACCCACTCCGGCACGATGTGGCACCTTTCGAAGTCCTTTTCCTCCGCGTTGGGGATAAAGTTCGGGTAAAAGACCGGGAGCGCGCACCCGGGACACAAGTGCATCCCATTTGGCATCAATTCTGCGCACCTCAGGCAGAACGTGGCAGTCACATTCAGCCTGATCTCTTCCCGTGATCGCCTGTGCTCTCCCCTAACGGGGGTGAAGTCACCGTAGTCCCATGCCCGATGGTACACTATCGTGTAATCATCGTACATATACGCCGCCTTCCAAGCCCCCATGTGGATCTCGTTCCTAACGGCAAGAGTCTTCCTTCTTGTCAAAAACACGGGTCCAACCAAGGACCAGTGCACCCGAAGATCCACCATTACCACCACGTACCTACCGGAGTAGTTCCGCAGCCTGTCCCTGACATACCACGAAGGCGATACCTCGGCATCCGGCGCCATGGCTCCCACAAGTGGGATCAGGCCCTCATCCTGCCTACCATCCCCAATGGTCTCGTACACATCGGGCCTCGTGATCAATATCTCGATCATGGCCTTTCCATTTCGCCTCACCCTTTGGAGCTGAACCGCCTTCCGAAAGTCCGAGAACTTCATGATGACGTATCCCACCATGGGGAGTTCATTCCAATGCATCTCATACATCAGAGATCCGCCAGGTGCATCTTCCTGAGTATACCTGTGCCTAACGGCACTGTAACTCAAGTCGCGTCCGATCCGCGTGTGCCTAACGGCAACCAACCTGGTGCTCTCTTTGAGGAGAACGCCGTCCCCGTCGTACATGACCATGAGCATCGCCTCCACTTGCCCTATCGGGAAAGCTTTAAGCGTCGGAATGAAGAACTTCCAAGACATCTCAGCGTTCTCCATGCCCGAAATCTCCTTCAGGAACCAGATGGCCTGGTCACTTTTCACCCAGTTTCCAGCCTCGCGTCCGGTCTCCTTCAGCACACGTTCCTCGAATAACTCCGAGACTCTCTTTGAATTGATGACCAAACCGTCGAAATCGCACGAGAGCAGTCTCATCAACTCCTTCGCAGCCTCCCGTCCTGC